CCAGGGCTGCAGGGTGATGCTGTCTGCACCTCAATTAAGAGCTCTGGCAATTCACAGCTCTGCTCAGCTGCTGGTGGAGCTGGGAGCTCCTCAAATACCAGGGCAGTGTGGGCAGCACTGGTGTCTGGCAGGGGAGCACAGGGCAGCTCTGGCAGAACATTTTGGCTCCTGCTGGAACCTTTGGGCTCAGTGTGTTTTATCTGAGCTGGCTGAGAGCCTGGGAGGGAGTGGTGTAAAGGGAAGGGATCATGCACCAAGGTGTGAAACACGTTCCGGGCATGTGAAACACATTCTGGGTGGCACAAAGGTGCTCTCGTGGCCACTGGGACAGAGATTTTCACAAAGAGAGGTCTGCGACACAACAGCTCTGTGTTTAATCTCTGTAGAAACACCTGCTCCCAGATCCTACCTGAGCTGGGGAGAGCCAGGATATGGGGTTTGACACCTGCCCTGCAGCCTGGGTGCTCAGCCCTGAGGATGGCAAGGTTTGATACCCTGGTGCAGAGGAAATTTAATTTCAGTGAGAGCAAAGCAGAGCCCAGAGCCTCAGCTCCCTCTCCCTTGCTATCTGCACACAGAGCAGACCCTGGAGCCTTTGGAGTTTGGAACTGGGTGCTCTGGGAGGGGGATGGAGGCTGTGCAGCCCGAGGATCCCAGGTGAGGTGTGCTGGGGCTGCTCCTGAGCAGCACCTTTGCTCTCAGGTGTTGCACAAGAGCCCCTTGGGCAATCCCTCGCTGCTCCTGAGCCTGTGGGGAGAGGGGAAGCAGCTCCTCTGTCCTGCAGGCTGTCTTCTCACATGGTCCTGTGCTTCCAGGAGCTGAGGAATGCTGGATCACCCCGAGCTTGTGCAGTGTGTGCCACAAAGTGCCCTGGACAGGTGAGCACTGGTGCCTCTCTCCTCGGTGCCCCAGTGAATTCTCTTTCTGTGCCCCCTGTGCAGTGCACGGAGCACTCCAACACTCCAAACAGGTTTGTATATCTTGAACTATTCAGCATTTGGAAATACTTCATTGTTACTCTGTCTTGCCTGAATGGTGGTGTGGGAGACCTGGGAGCTCATTGAGACAAATACAGATTACAGACGAGCCAGCTGTGCTTATCTTGTTAATATTGGTAGTTTTTAGAGGCCCTAACCAAGGTTGGGGGGTGAGGGACAGGACAACTGTTGATTTATGAGTTTCTTCTCCCTTTAAAGCTTTTTCCTCAGTGCTGCTGCAGCTGCTCCCCTGACTGTGTGCTTGTCCCCAGCCCCTGGCCCTGTGTGAGTGAGAAGAGAGGAGGATTCACCCCTGCCCCAGCTCCCTGGTGCCAGCTGTGAGTGTTTCTTTGGCAGTGTCTTAGCTGGTTGTTGTGAGCAATAGTCGAGGAAGCAATCAGCAAGTATACTGCCCTAGAAGTGCTGCACATTGTTGGGCTTGGGCAGGAGCTGCAGCGATGGCAGCGGTGCCACGGGATGCCAGTGCCCCACCAGGGAGAGGAGGAGCAGGAGAAGATGAACTGCAAGTTTTGATCTTTATTTGTCCTTCCCCAGTGCCTCTGGAGGGCTCTGCTGCACCTTTCCCTGCATCAGAGCTCTCCTGTTGCTGCTTTCCTGCACCTTTCCCTGTGCAGAGCTCTTCTTTTGCCACTTTCCTGCACCTTTCCTATGCAGAGCTCTCCTTTTGCTGCCCTGCCCTTTTTCTGTTCCAAATCCCTTGCATGAAACACCTGGAGTGGTTTATCATGACCATTCTCCACCCTTTGGCTCTCGTTCTCAGCTTTTCTGTCTCACCTGCGCTGAAACCACACCTGTGGGCAGCCCCGTTCCTTGCACACGGGGTTGGGTTGGCGCTAAAAGCTGCACCCCAAAATTCCTAACATTTGGCCTATTTTCCAGCTACTAAGTATAAGAGGTGCAGTCCATACCTTGCTATTATAGATAATGAGAATATCAGAGAAATATCATTGAAAATGGCACAAAGATCAGTGCAGGGGCAGCCTCTGCATTCTGTGTGAATTCCCTTTCCTTTGTGTTCTGTGTGAATTCCCTTTCCTTTGCATTCTGTGTGAATTCCCTTTCCAGTGCCCCCTCCCCAAGGTGCCACCCCTCCCTCCATGCATGGCCAGGTCCTAAATGTCACTTTTGCTGTTTGTTGGTGGCATGCTCTGTTTCATTGTGGAATGCACAATATTAATATCTTAATTTTTCTCCACACAGCCGCAGCGTGAAGGAATATCCCATATTAATCCCCCTAATTTAAATTTGAAATTAATGACTGTCACAACACTCTGAGCATCCTTTAATCCATTGATTGCTGCTGGCTGGGTTCCAGCAGTGTCACTAATTACATTCTGCCTGCAAAAAAAAAATATATTCTCATTGCTGGTGGCTTTTCTTCTGAGGGCTTCTGGCTGGAATTCCTGTGCCACCTCTGCAGCCTGAGACATTTTTTGATGGCCCAATCACAGACACGCTTGATGCATTCTACAGCAGCCGATAACTATTATTTACATTTTGGTTTCCTTCTCCTCAGAAAGAAAAAATCCCAAGAGAGGATTTTTAGTGAAAGGATGTCTGTGGCACGTGGGCTGGGGATGGGACAGCAATCCCTGTGCCAGCAGTGACCTCTGCTGGGCTGGGCTGCCTGGGGACACTGGGAGTGCTGCGCTGATAATGCAGAGGTGCTGTGGGCTCTCAGCATTTTTAAATTTTCATTTAAAAGCCCCAATGCGTATGATCATGTTCCCAGTTAATGGAGAACTCTGCCTCAGCCCAACTTCCTACCCAGCTGCAAAGGCAAAGTAAAAACTTCTTGTTAAAAAAATAAATTAAAAGGTTATATCAGTACATTCTGCCTCACAGAGGAGGTAAATTTATGTAGTTACAGCTCACCCAGTGCTTTAGAAGATGCAGAGTGCAGCCTGTGTGTCAGAAAGCTCCTTTAGTAGTTGGTGGGGTGAATTCCAGTCATTAAAAAAGATTTCTCTGTGTCTTTTCACCAAATACCCTGTTGTTTCATCTCCCTGTGCTGTAAAAAGCAAATGAAGGTGAAATTCTGAAAGGAGAATTTTCATTGTGTGCATTGCTGTGTGACAAACCCCTTCCTTAGATTTATTCCTGAGCTGTAGACAATGCTGCCTTTGAGCTGAGCTGTGTCTTTGGGCCCTCCCCAGATATTCCTGTTCCCTGGGCAGCTGCAGATTCCTTGGCTGGAGGAGGAACCGAGAGGAGGATTTGCTCAGGCAGAGGCAGCTGCTCCCCTGCCCTGCAGGGAGGAGTGAGGGGGCAGCATCAGGTGCAGGAGTGCCAGAGATGCTGAATGTGGAGGTGATGGGGACCTTTAGTGAGAATTCTTTGCCTTTTGTCACTCAGTTTTGAAGCACAAACTCTGAGTATGGCCTGCTGCAGAGTGGTGACTTCTGTGTGCAAACTCCCCATACTCCTCTTTTAGAGAACAGGGAGAGACCTGGCAGAAAATCCTCTGTCTGCCCTATTTCTGATTGTTAAGGCAAAGATCCATTTCTCTGGGTTTTAGTTCAACAGTTTATGATGACTTGACAAGCCACTTTTTAAAGAATATTTTAGAATATCTGAATCACAGCCACAGGTCGGTGGAAATGCAAGTTCTGGATTTATCTTGGTTCTCTATCTGGCAAGACTTAATTAAGCTGTGTTGTGGAGCCTCATCCATCACCCAAAATAAAAGCAGCACTCACCAGGCAGGGTGTTTGCTGATGTGGTTTGTCTGGATGTCTGTGGTAGGTTGGGCTTGTGCTATAAAAGTGGGGAAAAGGGAAACGAGGAGGAAGCCAAGAATGTGTGAGAGCAACAACTGGGAATGCAGCCCTGACAAAGCTTTGTGGGGTTTTTTTGAGGGGTCAGATGGTAGCTAAAGAAAGCCTGCAATAGTGATAAAGTTAAAAGAGCTGTTGGTGTCAGATTGTGTGCAGGGCAAATGCAAACTGCTGCAGCTTCCTTTTTCTATAAGGAACATGCAGGGGGCATCACGCTCCGAAATAAATTCCTAAAAGAGTAAAGGCTGCTTGACTGAAGTTTAACCCAGTGGTAATTAAGGTATGTTGGAATAAGATTTTGTTTCCAAAGACAGCAGTTTGTGTGTAAATCAGTGAATAAATCCCAGTGGCTCCGGCTCAGCAGGGAGAGCTGAGCGCTGTCCTTGGGCAGGAGGTGTCCGTGGCAAAGGAAGGGGAGAGCAGAGAACAAAGCAGCCCAGGGCTTTGTTCCTTGTGCTCCCTGTGCTGCTCCCGGGGACCGGGGCGGGAGTTT